TCCTAATCTCTCTCACACACTTACGAACAATGCAAGCCTTCCTAAATTGACACCCAACATTGACTGTTCCACGGATTGAATAACAAAGATCAAGTACAATAAATATTGGATCTTATTATGATGATGAAGATGATAACGATTAGATGAATGTACAACACAGTCAAAAAGAGCATTAGTGCTCCTATGAAAACTCCAGTTCATCAAACGTTGCAGTATCCTGGCTTTGGGAGGTAACTTATATTTCTGCTAAAGACCAGAGCTTCACCAGCAGTGTGGCATGAATAATATAACGTTGTGAACTTTCACGAGCGATGGTGGTGTACTTCATTTCAGTTATGCACACTTCGGCATTAATTCGCTGCGCGATGTTTCCATCATTACACTTTCACTGTCCGAACTAACATTGTTTGGAGCTATTTCAGGATTTTATGCAATAATATAAATAGTTTAAGTGCTAAGAAAATCAAAGTTGACAAAAGACAGTATTTGGTCCCATTTGGTCTGATTTAGCTGTTTTCTACCTTCATGGTGGAGTGAAGCGGAAGAATATATATTGGGCATGAAGGTATCCGTTAAAATGGAAGTGTGTCACATCTACAGTACCATCATTCTTCTGTGGCTTATGATGCACGACATGACATAGCTGGGTTCCTAGTTCTTTGATGGCACAATTAATGAAACAACTTGCTTGCAGTTGCTTCTTACGTTGGTAACCCAGCATACCTAATCATTTGTTTTCGGGAATAGACATAAGATTTATATCCAGCAGGATGAGAATAATTTCTAGCATATTCGGGAATTGAAAGCTGTGGTTTTGAAGCCACAAGCATTTTTGCATTAATTTATAACCCCTCTTTGGTCTCTTGCTCGCATCTAATAACATTTGATCTCCCCTAAACTCTTCATCGCTCTCCAAATAAACCTGATTGTAACATTTATTTTTCAAGAGATAAACTTGGAGAGTACAATTTATGCCAAGCAGATTTCGCCACACCTGTTCTGGTACAATACGGCACAAAACTACGGATTATATCGATGAACAGTGTATCAGGTTACACAAGAATACAATAGAGCCGAACTGTCACACTTTTACCACTGCAGTGATAGAACGAATGACAGTTCCTTTTGCACATAGGCCGGGTTTCCACTTCCTAATTGCAACCGA